ATGACTTTCATACTGAAAGTCTGGCTCACTTGAAGAGTTCTTACTTGGTAGAGCTGAGTATCTCCTAGACATAGTAGTATTTTATTCACTGTGCGCACAAATGTGCAGGGGCTAAGCAGACTAAACCAGTGCTCGCTTGGCTGGTTTATGCAGAGATTGATATGAGTGCAGTAAGTTAGCTCAGTGTCGCTGTATGTCGCTAATTTGTGTTGTAGTCCCAGGGCCTAGTGTGGGAGGTAGCAATATCGGAGTGAGGGGAGAGGAGAGACATGAAGAAGGGAGAAATGTGAAGGAAGCCAGACGGCACCGTTTGGAATAGAAGGTATGGCTAGATAGCTTTTTTTAGCAGACAGGTTTTTAGTGGAGCATCAGTAGGCTGATATTCTAGAAGCTGCTTTTTATCAATGTGGCTGGGATGGCAGTTACTTTTATTTTTCAGGCTTTTAGTGAGTGATCTCAAAAGCTTGTAGCTTCTTTTGGTTGGTTGGGGTTTTTTTTGGTTTTTTCCCCCCGCCTCCTGAAATTAGGTAAATCAGGGATGTGGAGGTGCTTCCAAAACATACAAGTCTGATTCTTCAGCAGAAAGACCATAGGGGTGGATGTAGTTGAAGTGATTGATTAAAGGTTCTAGTGTCTGTGGTGACTACCTATTGTTCAAATGGGAGGGATGAGAAATATGTTTCGCTAGCAATAGTGTAATGTTATGCTAAAGCTCTGCACCTTGTTACTGGTTTTAATCCCTTGTAGTTTTTTTGATTAAGAATTTGATGGTTAAGAAAAGAGGTGGCAAATATGTTAACTGTGTTGGATAGGAAATTTAAATGTCTTCAGATGACAAGTTCTTTTGAAGTTCTTTTGGCAATGTAGACTTTATTTTGCAAGTTTGGCATATTAAGTAATAAAAAATGTGGCTATTCTACTGACCAACACAGTCTAGAGGGTACAGCGGTTGTTTTCTTCACACTCTCTCAGCACGTACCCCTTCTGCAACTCCTCTTACCAGGATTCGCGGCCTTTTTAGGGCCACTTGACCTTGTCTTGGCTGCTTGGGCAGCCCTGTTGGATTATCAGTTCCCAGGCTCCTTGGCACTGAAACATCTTGATCAGAGGCACTGGAAACTGTAGTGCAGAGATACCAGAGCTGTCGCGGTAGCAATGTTGAATGTCATGCAAGCTAACTTACTTGTCGTCTTGGCCGTATAAACCACTTATGTATTTCTGTAACTTGAGATTCCTTGGTTGTATGTGCAGTAACTGTATTTGCTAGCATTTAGCCTATTTTATAAGGTAATCCATGTTGCTCTATGTCCCTTGCTTTGCAGAACTGAGCAAGAAGCAAGAGGGGTCAGTTGCACATACATGATTTAAAGCTTTTGAATCCTAATTTTCCTTTGCCTGTGTTAAAATTGTTTAAAAAATGGTAAATATAAAAAGAAAAGCTCAGTAAGTTCTTACTTCCCAGCCCTGTATTAGTTTGCTTAGTATGTTGGTACAGTCTTCTATGAATAGTTAACTATTCACTGTTAAACATTGTAGAATGATGCCAGGTTAAAAATAGTGGTAGCTGGCTTATTAACTTTAATATATTACTCAGCCGTGTGTGGCCAGCATTTTGTCAGCACAGCAAATCCTCTAATGGAGTGACATAATTTATGAGTAAAGGAAAGTTATTCAAATGTGGAACTAGCATGTATATTGTGAGGCTGATTTGCCTATCAAATTCTTACAGAAATGTCTTCCAGTCTTGCAATTCCCTGAGCAGATGAGATCAGCAGGATGCAGTATGTGCCTAGAATGCCCTGTAGCTTGCTTTAGGGATGTTGCTGTTAGTGGAAGGTGCCTGCCTGCAGTGGTTGGTTCTTTTGTTTGGGTTTTTTCTAATTACTGCCACTTGAAAACATTATCTTCAAATGAAAAAAGAATCTTTGGAATGAAAACTGCTTAACCAAAGGTTCAACAAATCTGTTTAATAATCATAGTCAATACCAATATGAGGCAAATAGTAGATATATCAGTAGTGTGTAGCTTAAAAAAAAGGGGGGGGTGTTGACAATTCATGACAACTTCAGAGATCATGGCTGTTGGCTTCAAAGACTCTTTGTGCTCTAAGAACTGTTTAATATTTCTTAAACTTATATATGCCAAAACAACTTTCTGATGGTATAGGTGCTCTATACCATACAGCACTTTCAGGCATTTTAATGGTAGTGACTACAGGTACTTACACTGTGAAGCCATATTGGAGGGGGGAGGCAGGGCTAGTCTTTTTAGTTGTCTAAGAACTTCGAAAGCAGCAATTCTCTGGCATTGTGTGACTTAGCAGGTATCTTTCCAACTTGGTAGAAAGTGTCCAGTAGACATAACTTGGTAACCTCTTTACACTTTTAAAACCCTGTCACCGGTACCTACTGGTTTAAAAAGTCATGTCAGCTATTTGGGTGTTTTGGATGAACCAAATGTGGAATTTGCACGAACCGGAAAAGTACCCAAGAGTACTGCATGTAAATATGTCCCTAGCTTCTGGCTGTTACAGAGAAAAAGCATATTAAGACTTAACGAAGATGGCTGAACTGATTGTGCTAGAACTGGGAAGAACAGGAGGAAAGGCGAAACCTAGTTCTTCATGGAGTCCCAGGAGAAGGAGGGTCTTCTACTGGCTGTGGTCCTGTTTATGCAGCCCAGGAGGCTCCTGGCAGTCTTTGCTGCCAGGGCACACAGGTGGTTGATGTTCAGTTTGCTCTCCCTTCCTGCAGAGCTGCTGCCCAGCTGGTCAGTCCTCAGTCTGTGTTGTTGGAAAGGGTTTTTCCTTCCCAAGTGTAAGACTTTGCATTTGTCCTTCTGGAGTTTCATAAGGTTCCTGTTGGACCTCTCTTCCAGCCTGTCCAGGTCCTTCTGGATGGCAGTCCAGCACTTGAGTGTACTCATTGGTTCCCCCTAGTTTGGTATAAGTAAATCCTTTTAAAGCAATACCCCCAAAAAACTGGTTTATGCTTTTAACCTTGATTGTAGCCTCAATTAGAATAGAGTGGGGAAAATAGAACCAGTATGTTTCAAGATGCTGGATTTAATACAAGTTGTATTTCCTACAAAAATGTGTGTCTACATGAATTATTTAGTAAACAAGGGATGCCACACAGCACTGCTGTTACTAATGCATTTAAAAATTAAAAGTAATTCCTTGGTGTGTTTCAGGCATCTTAGGAACTTAATCCACCTGGGACAAACCCAAAGTAACCAGGTGCTGTTTTAATGAATGACAACAATTTTGGAGAGTTTGACTTTCTTCAGGTGTTTGCTGCCACCTAGAGTCAGTTAAGCTCGGTGTTTTGTACTTCTGTTCTTTAGGCTGCACAGTTGGGAATCTGTGCGTGTTATGGCCACGGTTCATTTTGTAGTTCTTTGGAACTCTGGTCTGGTAAATCTGCTCTGGCAAGGTAGAAAGGGGGATGTGTGTGTTTTTATAGAATGTTTATACATATATACATGAGCCAGTCTGATAGTAAAGCTGTAATTGTAAATCAGAAGAATCTTCAGGAAACATTTTAAAAACTGTAATTCTGTAGGATGCAAATACTTAAATGTTACTTAATTAGTAGCTAAAATCAGGATAAAGAGAAGATAATGAAGGCTTCTGCAACATTAAACAGTGTTAGAAGTTATGGATGCTTTCTCACTAGGTGGTATAACTACTTGCAGCACAAGAAGTATGTATAAACTAAGATCAAATAGCAGCTTGTGTGTACTGTAGAATGTATGCATGTTTTAAAAAATTAAAATGAAGTTGTCTTACATAGGAGTAATGTCTTCTTTTAAGTCCCATTGCTTCTTATTTTATTAGATATAACCCAGGTTCGCGACTGTCCAGCCAGTCGCTTCAGCTGTCACTGCACTGTTGGATTTTAATGTACCACACAGAGCTCTACTGCTTGAATTAATAGAATGGTAAATTGTTATCCTTGGTTAACCGTGGTAAGGAGGAATAAGATGCTTCAGTTATAGATCCATAATGTACGTGAGCACCAGAGGAAAAGGAAGTTTAGTGATCTTCAGTCTTTCCTGAACGTCAGAGTGCTTTTTAGCCAGTGCAAAGACTGCCTTCTTGTCTGGTCAGTCTCAAGACTTCCCTTTGGTCTCCTTCCTGGCCCAAGATTTAGGCAGAAAATGGACCTGGACAGTTAGAGCCCAGAATGTTAACACTGGTGAAAGTTGTGATGTAATATGTTGTGATACCTTCTGAAATATTTTGCTAAATTTACAGAAAGTGTATATTTGCAATAACAAAAATATAGCAGTGCTGGGTTAAAAGTTCAACTGGGAAGGCAGGAACAACAGCGACATGAGAAACTTGTTCTCCCGCCTCACTTGGATTCACTTACTATAGCCTTGCTTTTCCTGAATGTTTGACAACTTTCAGTTATCTTCCCTCTATTTCAAAGCTGGTCTTTTTTTAGTAATTTATGGAGTGCCTCTGTGGGCACATTAATTGTGTGGCTGTTGGTCAGCATTGCCTCCATTCCGAAGAACCGCTGCCATCCTCTGCATTCCTTGACTGGAGTGGGCTGTATTGCAGTGCTCTTTTAGATGTAAAGCTATGGTGAGCTGGCAACGTCCAAAACCCTTTTCTCTGGTCTTTCCCTTCTATCCCCTTGCAAATTCCAGACAGTCAGCTTTGCACTTGAAAACTCATCTCATTTAAAAACAGAGGCTCATCAAACTGTTTTTTAATGGAAAGTATTATTGTGTGACAGTTAAGTTTTATGTGGTGGCCTGATCTAGAATGTTAATTACTAAATGATTTGATTAAAATCCCTTAAAAATACAATACCATATGCCTTAGATGACTTCTATAAGAATCTTTATGGAGACTGGTAACTTGACTTTTTTTTTTTATTAAGCACAAATGGGGGTAATAAATAATGTGATTAGTTGGTTCTTCATTAAATATTTTTCCAATGCAACCAACATACAAGGTTGATAAGTATTTTCAACTTCTTTTACAGGGTGACCTAAAAACTTATATCTGCACTGAACAGGAACACATTAAAGGAGATTCACAAATAATGCTGCTACAGAGAATGGCGTGCGAGATTGCTGCTGGACTTGCTGTAATGCATAAACACAATTTTGTGCATAGGTATGCTTTCCAGATAAATTGCTTTTAGTTACGATGCACTCTAAAATTCATGTCGATATTTTCTTTAAAATCTGTGTGTATTGAAGATTGTTAACAAACTTCTGTCTAACGTGTATATCCTAAGTCATGACTGTATGATACTTATGAAGATGCTAATTTAACTGCAGCGGTGTGGTATTACAACTCCCACCTGGCTGAAGGCTGATCACCTACGGTTTAGGTTTGCAGCCCATAGAACACAACCTACTGCTAAGCCAGTCCAGAAGATGCAGTTGTTAGATTAATTCTTGGCCAAGTTAAATGTTTTATTTGGGAGGGAGGGATGTTAAAATTTTGTTAGAATGACTCTTATCTGCTGTGTATTTTTTATAGATTATAGCAATTTAGAACTAATGCTTGATAATCTGTCACCTTTGTTACTAAAAATGGGGAGAAAAATGAAAACGCTGCCTTTCTAATGCAGTAAGGGAGAAGCTGACTTTAGATGAAAAATCTGACTGAAGCAGTTCTCTCACTGAATTATTGTTCATGTAACCTTTTAATCTTCAGTAATGGAGGTGGTCAGATTTAGAAGAATTCATAGTGGGAGTACAATTCTGTTTTAATCAGGAGGGGAAAATGCTAGACTTCTTTATTTTTAATTAAAGTTAATGTAGTTGATAAAGAAAGGCAGTAGTTGTAAAAGGCTGGGGAAAAATGTATTCATGAAACTAATTGCTCAGAAATATGCCAAAATGAATGGGGTGGGTTTTTTGTTTTAAATGAAAAGGTGTTAAGGAGCTGGAAGACATCAACCTTAGACTTTTAATGACTAAAATATTAATGAGTACTTGTTCCCCAAATGTGGCTTACCTGATGAAACCTTTGGTATAACAAGATAGTTTATTTTGGTTTTATGTTGGGTCAGTCTGTTCTTTGCTGTAAAAACAGCACTTGCACCATCCCTTCCAGCAAGTTAGGAACCTGTGCTAGAGCTTATCAGTGCACATCTTGCTACTCAGAGAAAGCAGACACTTTGGGTTCAGGGAGAAGCTGAACTATTAAACCCCAGTCTTAAAAAATGCAAGTGTAACCTGAGAAAACCCTGAAGCCTGGGCTGGCTGGTGGCTGATGGGCAGAGCTGTTCTTTTAACCTGTTTAACGATTTCAAATGACTTGAAGATGGTGGTAGTAGTAACCATTGTGCCTGTCAAACTGAACGATCACTGTTTCTTGTATTGCAGCAGCAGTTTTGTAGGTATTACATTTAACAGCGTGTTTTCAGTGAAATACGGTTAAACTTGATAAATAATTACCTGTGGATCTGCAAGATTCTCTTTGTAAATGTTTACTTCTAGCAACACTATCCTGATGCTGTCAGAGTAAGTGGTAAAGCTCCAGCATCAGTGATTTTGTTGTTAGTGGTAAATTCAAGCAGCCAAAATTTTATTTCTCTTCTAGGATATTTATTTAAATGGTATAAAACAAGTTGGAAAGCTTTGGGGCATAATTGAGGGTTACAAATCTGTTTCTGAACTGTGTAGTTCAATGACCCTGGAAAGGAAAACATTTTCTTTCTTTTAAGTAGGGAAACTGTGTGGCTTCCAGACTGTTTGTACTTTAGAGACTTTTTTTTTTAAGGCACACAGAAGCAATGGTAGTGTTTTTCCAGTGCTCTTAATTGTCTGATACCCCTCTGTGAAACCGAGAAGCAAAATATTTGAGCAGTTAGTGTGCTGAGCTCTTTGCTGTCACAGCCACAGTTCCATAGGAAGCATGCAGCCTCATTAAACTTGCATAAATTTCTGAGTTTGTATGATGGTTTTTCTAATATTACTTCTTGGTATTATTACAGCAGCACTGCTGGCTGTGAGTGCTTGTGGTCTGGTTTATGGTGGAAACTGGAAACAACTTCTGTGTGTATTCAAGAGCTTTTTGATTTGTTTATTAAAGGACTTTTTATGAAATACGTGAATCTTCCTGATGGTCTTTCAAAGAGTATCTGTAGTTCTAGTTTGTGTAATGTATGGTTTTGTTATGTAGAGGAACGTGACTGTAGGTATAAGCTATTACTAGTTGTTCAGTATCGTGCTGTATTTTGTCATGAGCAAAATTATCAACAATTCAGGTTTAAATACTTCACAATTTACAAGACATGCATTGACAAGTGTTAGGTAAAGAGGGACCTACATCACTCTAGCATGTGAACAGTCTAAGTAAACTACATCATGGGATTATTAGTAGAATGAAATAATTGCATATGAATTCTGTATGTAGTTGGAGTGTTTAAGAGTATACTTTGCTACTCTCAAGAAGCAACTAGATTTTGAACTTTTTTTATAACGGACAGCATAATAGCCTAGAGGTTTTCGTATAAAATTTTAAAATGTGATTGCCTTGTCACTATGTTTAGTTCTATTTGGATTCCAGAGCACAGATTCTGCTCTATTGTGTGGCTCTAAATTGATTCTCTTCTAAAAATGTGCATTGAAGACTTCTTGGTTTGGTCTCATTATTTATTTGTTCGCTTTTTCAGTGACTTGGCCTTACGGAATTGCTTTCTTACATCCGATTTAAATGTCAAAGTAGGAGATTATGGTATAGGATTCAGTAGATACAAGGTAAGTTAATCTAGGCATGTACCAATTTTAAAAAAGGATTGGGAGTCTAAGGTTATAACAAGCTTACTTTAAAGTTATGAACTGATACTAGGTTGTCCTTTATTTGAATAATGGACTTTCAAAGTATAACTGGCAAATAACTGTAGCAAGCTCATGTAACAGAATAGATCTTTCTTGAGATGAGTGGAATTTATGCTTGTAGAAGGAAGCTTCTGGTTACATCTATCTTTATTTAGCTCCTATTTACAGTAGTCCTAAAATATGCACAAATTCATTGTGATGTTTTAAGAAAGGAAAAATTCAATCAAATTTCTTAAGGAAAATGTTCAAAATATTTAAATATGTCAAGAAAGTGAAACATTCAGGGTATTAATTAAAAACAATATTAAGGGTAGGACTGTCAACTTCTAGAAGTTGATCCAATGTTTGTTCAGTCTTTTTCTGTGTTTTTATTGATAATTTAGGAAGATTATATTGAGACAGATGAGAAGAAACTTGTTCCTCTCCGATGGACTGCACCTGAGTTAATAACAAGTTTTCAAGACAGACTGATATCAGCAGAGCAAAATAAATACAGTAACATATGGTATGTAGTAGGCTTTAAAATAATTCCAGTGAGAGATTCATGAACATATTTTCAAATGTTATACAAAGGAGTAAATAATATTTATAGTTCAATTGAATATTGGCCTGATGCACTGCTCTTTTATTTCATTCGCTGTACAGTAGGATAATCTCCTCTAACTTGAAACTGTATCTTGCTTTGGAAAGATGCTTAGAAATCTGTTGAGAGAACAGTTAGAATAAGAAAAAATGTTTAGCGGAAGAATAGGTGTTCATACTCATAAAAGTAACTACTGTATATTTGTCAAACGCTTTCAAATGTTTATAAAGGAAGGAAATGGTAAATGACTTTTCCAGTACTATAACAACTGTGGATGACACAAAGTTGATCCCACTAGAGTCTGATTAAGTTCCATTAGTGGAACAGTAGCATCTTAATTTCTCGCTGCAGCATTTGAGGGCTGCAATTAACTGTTTGTCTCTGATACCAAAGAGTTCATAGACAAAGGCTAGTGGAAATCTTGAAGATGAATTTTTTTTTTTTTAATTGCCAAGTTCCGCTTCAATTCTCCAGTGCTAAGAAGTTTGGATAATGGAAATTGGGGCTTAAGCTAATGTTTCTGAAAATGTTGTAGTTAAATTCCTGCTTTTATATTCTAAGGATATTAAATAGTAAACTAGGTCTTATTTGCTAATTTAAACCTAGGGTTGCAGAAAGCAAGTGGGATAGATGGAAATTATCAAAGTACTGATTTTATTGCATTTTTTTCAAGCAGGCTTCCTCAGATCATACTGTTCATCTAAACTACAAGCAGCCTCGGGTCTTAAGGTTTCCAACTTGAATTTTACTGCCTTTTATACAGACCTGCTTTGAACGGGTTTGAACTAGATGACTTCCAGAGACCCTTTCCAATCTAAATTATTCTACCATAACATGTGCAGAGTCAGTTAATTTGCTTTTTGAGCAAGGAAAGGTTGCCCAAAGATCAGCATCAACTCTAATCACTGAAAATGTGGTTAGTGTTGTATACAGCACTGAACAAAGAGGTGGCTTGTGACCACTGCAGCTTAAAAACAAGTAATTTTATGAAAACTGAAACAAAGATTAGTTTTCTAGCAGTTTGATCCATAACTGCAACTTCTGATGAAAGCTTTTCCTACTGTTGGACTAACCATAAGGTTTTTTCACTTTGCTTCTCTAAATAGGCATTTTCTACTCTTTTAATATGTGGGTATTTCTTCCATAGTTGAATCATTTGGGGCCTTTTATATTTTGTTGCCTTCATTGTCCTTGCCTTCAAGCAACTTTATTTTTGAGGCTTCTAGCATTCTGTCAAACAAAATGAGTTAACAGGTTCTGAGGTTATTACAGAGCCAATGGGAGAGTGATATCTGTTTCTTCTTGCCAGTTATGCTTTGCATAATATCATCTTAAAAAGCAATTTTAAAATAGTTCTTAGCAGCAAATGACTCTGCATTCTCTTTTTCAGGTCCCTGGGTGTCACGTTATGGGAGCTGTTTGAGAATGCTGCTCAGCCTTACTCAGACTTTTCTGACAGAGAAGTCCTAACCCATGTCATAAGGGAGAAGCAGGTTAAACTCTTCAAGCCACGCCTGGAGCAGCCATACTCTGACAGATGGTAAACTTAAAATGTTTTTATTTATTCTTAAAGCTGCTGAAGAAGTTTCTCAAATTACTCAGTTCTCTTAATATATTGAAATTGCTACGTGAAATCATGTTCCTGGCAGGGAAGCTCTAGACAAGAGTAAAAGGAGTTGCTATTGATGGAAGTTCCTGCCAGCGATATTAATTGTTACTCCTTTATGAATTCCTTTTTGGTGTGAAGCTTATTGAAATATGTTTTGTATTTGTGTAGGTATGAAGTTCTGCAGTTCTGTTGGCTACTTCCAGAAAAGAGACCAACAGCAGAAGAAGTGCACAGGCTGTTGACTTACCTTCGCATGCAAAGCCAGAGGGACTCGGAGGTTGATTTTGAACAGCAGTGGAATGCTCTTAAACCAAACACCTCAAATAGAGAAACAAATAATTCTGCATTTCCAATCTTAGATCACTTCACAGGAGATAGACTTGGCCATGAGATGGAGGAAGTTCTTACTGTAACCGAAACAAGCCAAGGTCTCAGCTTTGAATATATCTGGGAGGCAGCTAAGCATGATCATTTTGATGAATGTGGTCATGTGAATCCTGATGAAGCAATGACATACACAAGTATTTTCTTTCCGGTGGAGGTTTTTGAGAGGTCGCTTTCAGAGCAAGGGTCAGGAGCACAGGATGGAAGCGGTCAGGAAGCATCACTTGCTGTCCCTGGGGTGCTACCTGTGTTTGATGCACACAAGCTTTCTGTTGGAAATGACTACTATATCCAATTAGAAGAAAAAGGAAGTGGCTGCAGCATGAATTTTGATAACCAATCAGTTGTACTAACTACAGAAGTTGATCATCAAGAAGCTGTACAAGAAAAAAGTTCTCATTTCACGATTCTCAGGGATCTTGATGTTGAAGAATCTAGCACTGACGGGGACTTCTTCCACTACAATACAGATCCTAAAGAGGAATTTCTGCCTGCTGCTAGTAGTCCAGAAAGTCCTTTCCAGAATATCTTTAATGACATTGACAGAGCAGAACAACTGACAAACAGAAAAATACTTGGTTTTGCTGAAACAAATGATACTCCTAAAGACTTCAAACCAGTTGTTTTAAACTCGAACACGGATGCTAGACAGGCAGTGGGCCTTTCTGAGAAGGAGCATTCTAATGCTTCTGAAAACAAAACAGTTTCATTATGTGAAAATGTCTCTAACCAGTCTGACTTGGTAACTTTAGAAGAACTTTCTGATAACTTCTTATTTCTTCAAGAGAAAAACTTATTAACAGGGTTATTGTCTAACAAAACCAGCAGTGATTTTGGGCAAAAAACAGAAGATGTTCTAAAAAGTATATTAGAAACCTCAAATAGAAACTCTGTAGAGCCTGAGCCTGTGTTGGCTGAAAATGCACAGGTCTTTTCTTTAATCCATGAAAATCTTAGAACAGTGAAAGATGAAAATTTTAACCCAGTGACAATGAATAAAGATCTGAATTCTCAGTCTCAGACTACTGTAGAGATGCAGGCATCCTCTAGTCCTTCAGCAGCACACAAGTTATGTGATAAACGTGCAAATCTTCCTTATTTGAAGGATGAGGGAAAACTTTTAAATGTGGAAGTCAACAAAGTCATGTCCTGTAATGCTGATATTCTCTGTCAAGAAGAGCTATCCAATAATGCCAAAAATAATAATGTTGGAAACAATCCATATTACAGTGTTGCTGTTGAAACAGATGAGTGCGATGCACAAATAAAAGAGGAAATGCTTTTCAAGTCTGATGAAATAGCTTTTGGTAGAGAAAAATGTAGTGATCAGGAAGATATGAAAAGAAACTTCCAAGATAAGTCTCCCGTATTAAAAGATGAATGTTTATTGGAGGAAAAACAAGAAACATCAAATCATTTTGAGAACTGTAAGGATGTTCCAGAAGAGGTGACCTTAATTTCAGATTGTACTAGTCAGGATAGTCTTCTGGAAGACAGCCCATCTCCTATACAAACTGTAGAGCAAGCCTTAGAGACACCTGATTCTTTGGATTCTTTAGATGTAAATGAGGTTTTAGAATCTTTACAGGCTCAAAGTCCTCAGAAACTTTTGCCACCTGATAAACCTGCTGACAGTGGCTATGAAACCGAGAACCTGGAATCTCCAGAATGGACTTCCCATATCGCTGTTGAGGATGCTTCTAGCGTAGATACCACTCCCTGTGCTGCCAGCGAGAGCAACGCCAGTGCTTTACCTTCTAATCCAGTCATAATTGTTTCAGAAGCAGCAGCTGGTTTAGATGCAGTGAACAGCAATTTTGAAATAACCCCAAAGGTTTTTCTTGGTGGAAATCAGAACTCATACAGAGACTCTGCCTATTTCTCTGATAATGATTCTGAGCCAGATAAAAAACCAGAAGAGGCCGCAAATCTGTCAAGAGAGACTGTGTGTGGTGTTTCCTCAAGTAGAGGAGAGAACAATACCGAAGAGGATTACAGTTTTGAAGAGAGACAGCAAAGGTGCGATGTAAGGAATTACCAGGATATCGACAATCAAAATGCCAAACTAGAACCAAATCACAACTTGGAGATGCAAGAGATGGATGTGAGGATGCAGGGGTGGGCTGAGGCACCTCTGAGTTCCCTGGAAATATCAGTGGAAAGTAACCTAAGGGGTGAAGTAAAAGTATCTGAGACTTCCCATAAAACAGTCTCTTGTGTTGGCACTAATACTTCAGAACTTCTTTCACACAGAGACTTAAAGTCTGTGCATAACGTACACAGTCCTTTAGATTTGAGTAACAGTGAGAAGTCCTTCTATCACATTGAAGGACAAAAACTGAAAGAGCCAGATATTGAAGGAAAATACCTTGGCAAACTTGATGTTTCTGGAATGCTTGATTTAGAAGATGGTGATGATGCGGATGAGGAAGATGAAAACAGTGATTCTGAGGATGACATGAGGACTTTTCATATGCATAGTCTGAGTTCTGACAGTGAAGATGAAACTGTTCATCAAGTACCTGAGATACTTACTGACAAGGATGATGGAAAACATCTGAGAAGCTTGTTGAAACTTCCAAAACCTCTTAATGAAAGGCAACATGAGCATTGGAAAAATGAGAAAAAGGCTGTAACGTTCTTTGATGATGTGACGGTCTATTTGTTTGATCAGGTATCCTTTTTTTTTAATTACTAAGTAAAGTTTTTGTTGATTTGATGTGGTAGAATAGTTTAATATTATTTGTGGACATGCTGTCACAAGGTCACTATCTTGTTTGTGGGTTATTTTTTTTTCTTCATAAAGAAAAAAGAAATGTCTTTTCTTGGTTAGGTGCAGTTGTCTGCTGGTGGTAAATAGCAGCACTAATTTGAAGTGAAGGACGCTTTTGCTTTGAGCAGAGTTGGTTTCCAAATCCTGAATCTCCATTGCCTTTGAACACTTGATTGCATGTGTTGAACGAAATGTGGCTTTTAGTGATGTCTTTGTGATGTTTACAAGCTATATTTAATTTGAATATGTGAGACAGCATTGTTGTGGACCAGATTTGATTAATTTATTTTACTGGAATGTTGTTGTAACTTCATAGAAGCAGTTTATCTGTTTAATGAGTTTGAGGACTTTGAGTTTAAGTTCAAATGCCTTTGCAAAAGAAGAGAAGGAAAAAAAACCATCACCAACAAAAATTCCCCAAAGATCAAACCACAACCTAATGGTGAATCTTGTGTTAGTTAGCATTAAGGTAAATTGACCTTAAACCATAAAGATTAGAGCAGTATTTAGATGGTAATGCTACTTTTTTTTAATCCAATGTGATTCAAGTTCACTGAAATACCGATCTGCTTATAAAATTCAAGGTTACCTTTGTTTCCCTCTCTGCTTTATCAGTTTTTAACTTCTGTAACTTGATACAGAGGGGATTTGCATTTTAACATTATGGCAAGTAAACCAGTACAGTGAGTTTAAAAGAACAGTCACATTGTCAAGCTTTGGAAATGTTGCTTATGATGACGCACATAAATATTAGAGATAATTGTGTTATGGAATAGAAAACATGGGTGATATATTTGTGTTTAGGCAGTCTGTAGAATAGTAATCCTTTTGTCAGAGGGGAAGGAAAAAAATTAGCTGTGTTTAAACTGCTCTTAGTTGTTGAACTCTTTACTTATTATTACAGTAACTGATAAAATGTTGGCCGCTTCAAATACCGGTCATACAAAGTCTGTCTCTTTATCCTGAAGCATGATTAAGGGGTAAAAAAAACATTAAAAAAAAGTTGGGAGATGGGATAAGGCTTTATTAAATAAAAAAAAAACCCTACCCGTGTCACGTTGATAAGGGAACTGTTTTCAATTGGAAGATGTTTTAGCTTTGTTCCTAGAAATATGAAACCTTTATGTATCATAAATAATATTTAAATAATAATTTCCTGTATGCATTTTAGCATAGATTTGATACCACTTTCTTTAGAAATAGAAGTATGTGCATATACTTAATCCATAACTCAAAGTTTTCTTGTGTGGTAATAACTTAAGAGTTTACATTTAATTCCACAGTAGACTTGATAGTGGGGATGGGGGAGTGTATTTTTCAAACGCTTGCATCTATAGGCATGCATACATTGTGTGTACAAGAGTTATAGGAGTTCTTTTGTTTGCCTTAGGAAACGCCGACTAAGGAGCTGGGACACCGTGCAGGAGACTTGAGCAGCGAAGGCTCTCGCAGCACTCCTGTTCCATCATCGAGTTTTGGTTACTTAAACAGATTTGCAAATTCAGAAAGCTCAACAGATGAAGAAGGTACCTGAGTATATTTATACACAGCAGGGGCTGAGACGTTTTACGTGTAGTTCTTAATGAAATGTCATTTAAATCATACGTGATCTGTAAATTCACTGTACCATACCGGCTTCAGTTTGGCATCCTAAGCGTACACTTCAGTTGGGCTCCGATAGCAGTGTTACTGGTTATCAAAGCTTGTGATGTAATACCGGCTGCTTATCTATTGATGTGTCTAGGGTATCTTGAGAGGCAACAAAGCTTCGTGACCTAGAACAGCTGCAAGTTGTTCTAGGTTAGAACAGAACAGCTACAAGTTTTTTGTTTTGGGTTAATGCAGCCTTCTAGGGGCTTGCTCTTAAAACTCTATATGACTTCACATTGCTATAAATTGCCTCTTTTTTTTTTTTTTTTCCCCCCAGGTGGGGGTTTTGAATGGGATGATGACTTCTCTTCTCCAGAGCCATCCTTTATTTCGAAGGCAGCTAATAGTCTTATCAGTTCTAAATCACCTCTTCAGTCATCAAAGTACTTCTCTCCACCTCCACCCTCCCGGACTCTCGATCAGAACTGGTCACATTCATCCCCTTATTCCAGATTCTCTATCTCTCCTGCAAACATGGCAAGCTTTTCTCTGACGCATCTTACAGATTCAGATATAGAGCAAGGAGGTAAGTGATTTAGTTATTATTTTAAAACTACAAATTAAAAACTTTATGCAAAGGTATAAGTAATAGATATAACAAATCTTGTTCTATTTTAAATAGTTAAGTTAAAAATGCATTTTGAACACTATGAAAATTATATCTGGTCTTGTATTTCAGTTAAGACCTAGCTTTCCATTTAGATTGAGGCTTTTTGCATCCAAGTTGCTACAAACTTGTGATTGAATATTCTACGGAAAACTTACAGGACAAGCCCACAATTTTTCTGTTAAAACCCCCCTAGTGCTATATTTCTATGAACGAAATCTATGCAGTCCTGAAGCACTTCTGTATAGCTGCCACGCTATGACAGTTGAGTAATTCTCACGATGGCACTGTCATAAGTAACAATTTTGTTTTCTTTGGACAAGATGAGGATGCTGGGAATGTAATGTTCCTGCCATTGTTGCCTAAGCTTATTTTACAGTTCGGTTTCTTTTCACATGGCTTTTTAGAAAGTGTATTCTTGACATTCAAGAGTTGCAGCATGTTTTCTAGAGCTGTGAGTAGGATAGTTTGTCAGGGGAGCCAAACAATCTGTTCAGAGCAGTATTGATTAACAGAAGCTTTCTTGTCTGTAACAAAAACCTTTTTTTAAGCTTTGGTATGTTTTTGAGGATTAAGAGAAGCAAAAATAAACAAACTGAATCAGTTCAGCATATTATTAATCTTGATAAAATGTTGCATTATTAAAAATAAATATTACTGCTCGCTGAGCCTTGCTAATGGTCAATGTCTATAAAAATGTAATTAGTGTTTATACATAGGGTTGTATTGTTCATGTATTGTGCTTATTGATTAGATAATGTTTGCTGCTTAGTAACTTACAGATAAGAGAGATTATTTTGGAGATCCTACAGTGCCTTATGTGTCCTAAGAAGTGACATTGAACTGTGCGATTTAAGCAGATGTTTAGGTATAAATGTACCCAATGTTTACAGTAGTTGAAAGCTCGAGGGAAAGATTAACCAAAACTTGGAAGTGCGAAATAGCAGAATGCCAAGTTCTAGGAAGAGTCTTGCAAAGAAGTGAGGCTTGTGCAGAAGAATCTCACTGTACCTTATGACCTTTCCTCTACTAATAATAGGAAGCAGTGAAGATGGAGAAAAGGATTAAATAAATTAAAACTTCCTCGGACTGCATACCTAAAACACACAGACTGTCTGCAACTTCTTTATCTAAACTCTGGATCCTCCTGGAGTAACACAGGTAATCAAGAAGTACTAAGAAATGAAAGTAAACACTGAAAGCAATGTTAAATCAGGACATTAATTTGAATGTGTATTTAACTTTGTAATGTATTTTTAAATCAGTGCAATTTTGCTTTTCATTGAAAGATGATTCTGCCGCTGTTTTCAAGTACTTGAAGTATTTTTCAGATAACTTAAGAAACAAGTAAAGCAATTACACTACAGTCTGGTTTATGTATGAGATTGTATAATATTCTTTTTATATTTTTCCATGTAGTTCATTATCTATTTGAACATACACCTGTTGTAGAATTGTGTATAACTGTCCTGTGCAACAGGTGGCTGTGTTGCTGAAACTGTATGAATGATAGTTGAGCAGTAGTGAGCCATATTTATTCAAAAAGATATCACTACATATTACTTTGCTTATTACAATTGCACTATGGATTATTCTTCCTTTATTTCCTGATGATGTACAGAATTGAAATCTGAAATCTTTCAAGGAAAATAAGACAAGTTGAATTGGCCCAGTTACCCAGTTTAATTTGTCCCTTTTGTAGCCTTTGCTATGCACGGTACTTGTAAAACGTACATAACTTCTGAGTGTTACGTTAGACTTGCTGAAATCTTCTATTCAGTACCATTTCTAAATGATAATGATTATAGATTGATTGTTAGTGTTCATGTTTTATAGGAAACTGGAAAAGAATATATGATATACTCTGGAATTTTTAGATGAAAGAGATAATGTCTCTTAATTCCTGAATATGATCCTACTGACTGCTTAAACTGTAATAGCATCTGACTATATCATAATTAAGGGCCTTCCACTTTTTACTACAATTTCTGCCTTGGAGAGAGAAGAGGAAAAATTGGCTGTACAAAACTGTGGAATTTATGAATCTTAGAAAAAGACTAATTTCAATCGACTGGATTTGGGCGTGCTTGGCCCTTCAGTTGTACATTCTGTGAATTTTGAAGCTCACTCTTCTGCTGACTGCAGGTTGGAGCTGCCATTCAGGCCTGTGGTAAATCTACCTCTCGGTGATGTTATGACAACTAAGAATTAGATTAATGGTTAATGCCCAATTTTGCACCCTTTAAAAGGCCAGACCTGTTTTAAGATGTCTGCAAGGCTCGGTGGTACATCTTGAAATGCATACTGACCCAAAGATGCAGTATAGTACAGTTTGCTCTGAAGCTGTCTGTAGGGAAGGGAGTACAATGTAGAGTTTTTTTAACCTTCATACTCTACCATGCATTTAGCTAGTTTAGTCCTTTGAACTGCTTGGAAAAAAACAAGAAATCCTTATTTACTACTCAAAAGTTGAGTTGAGAAATAAATCCCTGACCTCTTGGAATGCCTTATGCAGCTGTGGATCTGTAGGAGACACTGATAGGAACAGTTTGCCTGGCTTTGTACATTTGTATTTTACTGTACTAAAATACAAACTACTGAAATACGAAGTGCTTTGTGTATTAGTGGCTATTTTGGCAGGTATTCAGTATGATGGTGGTCCAGGTGCTCTGTGTTCAGATCCAGTCACGAGAGAATCTTCATCATGTGAAGTATGGGAGGACTAGATAGTTTCAGATGTGTAAAGTTTGGTTTTGTATACCTCTATATGTATTTTGATTTTTTTAAGTATGTTTTAAAATGACAGGAATATGTTAAATGCTTTTTTCCAATATTATTTAGCCCTTAACCAGAATGGTTTCCATACTGATCAAAAGGGAATGATTTAGTTATTTAAAGTTGCCAATGTGTTTTTGAGAACTTTCTGAAGGGATACTCAGGTTCGAAGTTAGTCAGAACTGTTCTTCAGTATGAAGTAAGGAACTGAATTTTTCATGGTCTTTTCCCAAAACATGCTTTAAGAGGCAAAGCCAAGTAGTTCTTAATACAGGCTTACAGTATATACTGTAGAGGGTTTAAGGAAGCTGTGCACTACTCAGTGTTTAAAAATATAGGTAGTAGACTTCGTGCACAAATTATTGCTTAGAAATTCCGTAATTCCAACACAACTCCTTAATACAGCTAGATTAAGGTACCTCATCTGTCTTCTATAACTCTCAGCGTACTTTGTGTGGAAAATCAAAACTAAGAATGAAACTCCATAATGGTCTGCAAAGAATGGGTGGGCTTATCTGCCTTGCGTGGTGAAACATCTACTGTATCAGACCTGGAGTTCAGCCTTAATTTTGAATCATTTGATTTAAAATACAGTCCAAGGTTAAAGAAAAGCTTGTACTCCAGAATGTTACAATTTGGTTGTGCATTTTGTTTCTTAAAATTCTGGAAAATCAGGTGTTTATCTTGCACATCAGGAATTTCCTTTGCTTGATCGAAATCTAAGATTTTTATTCTTTACCCCGGGTTTAAAGAAAATCTTTCATAGGAAGTGAAAGTTTACTCCTTTGTCCAAGTGGACTCGTTGCTCACGAATTGCCAAAGGACCATTTTTTTTCCAAAACGAGCTGGGATGTGTATGGTACTAAGCAAGGCAATGTCCTTTTCAGCTGTACAATGACAAGAAAGAAATATTTAAAGTTGACTCACCTCACTTAAATGATAATTTTTAATTTCAGTAATCCAGTAGGCTGGATTGCAATAATATAAAAGATCTTTTTTTTGGAAAAATTTATAGTTTAAAATCTGATCAACTACTAGCAATATTTAAATGTATCTGCCTAGCAGTCAGTGGCACAACGAAGACCAATCAGTAATTCCAACATGTTACATTATAATAAGGGGATTTGTTACAAATCATTCATTAAACTATATGTAATTTCTTGCACTAGCTACTTAAGCATGGTTTCCATTTTAGAAGTACATGTATCTATTTTCAATGGTTTATTATGAGGACTGGTTACATTTTAATTCCTTCTCTAGTAGAATACCTTGATTACTTGAACAATGAAGGCATTGTCTCAATTTGGCTACTAATGTTATTTAAAAGATCTGATTTTTCCCACCTAAGGAAGTCTGTTTAGAACCAAGGATCTGTAGTGGGAAGCCAACAGCGAGAAGAGTGTCCAGTTTTAATGGAAACACCTGTACTCTCCCACATCCCCAAGCCGCAGATAAGTTGCGTGTATCACTGCATTTATGGAAACTGCCATTTTCATGGAAATGAGCGAATTAAACATTTTTTCATATCCTTGTTGATGCACTAATGAAAGCCATTTAAGTCTCATTCTTTTTATCAGTATTTTTAGCAGATTTTTATGTAGTACTCAATCTTTTTCATGAGGAGGCTGGTTGGTAGGAAGACTTTTTTTTTTTTAATAATTAAGCACTACGCTAAAATGTCAGCATTGTCAGGTGTTAGTGACATGGCTATTTTTGTTGGAGTTGGTGAAGGGTGGAATCCAAGTATATTAGCCTTATAAGAAATAGCCTTAAATAAGAATGGAGTATACAAAATTACTTCAGCTTTAAGTCATACAGAAATATCCCTGTATGTTAATGGTTTTGGTACAAGACTGGAAAAAATCTAGAGGAGAGTCAAACATCATATAAACTTATTGAAAATAAGTATTTGTAATACCAGCAGCCTGTTTTTCAGAAACTTGAATATGACTTACAGTTAGTTTTGTTTATGAAATTGTTTGAACTTGCACAGATGTAGGTGTAACTTAAACGATAAATGGTACTGATGTGTGTGTATATATAATGTTTAATTCTATTTGTAAATGAGAAACTATGTAACAAAATCATAGGTATGAGGTTTTCCTATTGTAATTTAATACAGGTATGAGGTTTATGGCAATATATCATAGTTAATAAATTTCAGGTCAAAATGTCTTTAAATTGTGTACATTTTTAAATTGTAATTTCTACTGTATATTGATTATCATGCATAGTGTGATTCAAGAAACTGCTTGTAATTTAAAAATATTTAATATTAAAAATAAAATACAATTATA